TGATTAATATATATTCTACAAGGGGCAGTGAGGTGAGTAATTCTATAGGGTGTGTCCCGACATAATTTTAAAATTGTATAATAACACAAACAACTTTGTTAAGGCCATGTTTTATTTGCTGATTAATGGACAAAAGGCAATGTAATTTATCTTCACGTATTTTCTTGAAAGTCTGTGCTCATAGAAATCCTGAAAAGTTGGAAAGACTGTTAAATCACTGAAACTTTAAACATATCATACACAATCTTGTTTGTACAAAAATACAAATTAAACATAAAGCCATCATGACAATTTTATGCAAATCTTCTTTATTTGATCTTTAGTTATTTATAAAAGTTTCTCAGTTCTGTTGAGAAAATATCAGTACCAGATTAAATTACTGTCTATTGGAAAAGGGCCCTAAAAAGCTTATTTTAGCATTAAACTTTTATGTGATCAAGTGCATTGCCTAATTGAGATCACCTAAACACTGGGGGCGGGGAGACAGTATGTCTAAAAACCATCAAATAATTTGGCATCTGTACAATGAACAGTATGTATCATACACACACACACACACACACACACACACACACACACACCGGTGTATACCAGCGTGCATGTACACGCACACGTAGAGGCAAGGACACACGCCCAGTCATAAGCCTAATGAGGTGCTCTTCCAGTTCACTATTCAGCTTTGCATTTTTTTTTTACTTCATCAAATCAACATCTTTTTGTCACGTTCCCTTCTTGAAGACAGTATGGAGAAGATCATGACCATATTCCTCAAGGTCTCCTTTTCCTTCCTCAAGTGTAACAAAATCTCCCTCTGGTGTTTTATGTAAAGACTAGAGGCCCGATGCACGAAATCCATGCAAGGGTAGATCTTTGCAGCCCTGGCTGCCACAGCGGCTGCCTCAGCCCTCACAGCCCTGGCTTCATCTGGCAGGTTATCTGGAAAGTTGTCTGGACAGATCTTCTGCTGTTCGGCCGTTTGGTCAATTTTCATGTTACACTTTTATTATTATAAAGACTAGAAGCCTGGTGCACAAATTTGTGCATGAGTGGGGTCTGGCAGGCCTGCCCTGATCAGCGGGGTTGGCCAGGGGGAGGGGCCACAGGTGGTTGGCCGGCCAGCTACCCCCTGGTTGAACTCTGGGTTGAGGAGACAGTGTGCATATTAGCCTTTTGCTATAAGGATAATCAACCTTTTTTGGACCTTTTGTTGGGATCAGCAACTGGGTCCTTGAAGACATTAACCCCAAGGCCATTGGTTACAACATAACTACGCTTAAAGGAACGATTCAAGAGATCTCTTGTTAATTTTTGTAGCAAAGCTCCCCAGAACCAAAGGCAATATTTTCAATACTCCATTTGTTTTGCTTCATGCCTTCTACAATCTCTTGTAAGGTACTAATATCTACTCCATCCCCTTGAATAACTTGAAGTTACGGTGGCAGCAACTTGTAGCCCTTTGAGTTCTTAGTAATAGGGGATTTCTTGCCTAAAGTATCCAAAACCTTTAATACAGTGTCCAGAGGATTTCCAGAATCAGGTCTGATTATTAGTGGTGCCTCTGAACTTCTTGATACTATTAAATGTGTTGATCTTCACCCCATATTTTCTCACAAGCATTATAAATGTCATAATTATTGCTGACCACAGATGCAGGCACTGAAGAAAAGTGTGTTACTATATGTTCAAAAGCATCTTTTTCATGGTCTTTCCCCCAGGCTGTTATGCTACTGTGTTCTCCTGCTGGAAGAGAACAGCCTGGAACTTGATCTTTCATTCACAGCATTTTTTAAAGCAATTCCTGCTACCGTATCCATTCTTCTGAACTTAACCAAATAAGCAGACGCTCCCATGCCAGCAGTCTCTTGGGAAGAGACTCCTCTATAGCCAAAATACATGCAACTTGTATTCCAGACCAACTAAGTTACCAGATGTTTCTAACAAATACTTGGCCAATATTTTCTTCAGCTCTCTAGAATTTGTGGCCACAGTGATTGGATACCAGGAGTGAACAGGAATCGTCTCAACCCACTGTATAAGCCATTTACACTCTTGATCTGTGTTTTTTCCACTGTGAAGAGCATATTTCCTCTGTGAATGACAGAGCCCTGAGGAACAGCTTTTACTTCTACTGGAAGATGCCCAGGGTATTTCTCCAGAATGTAGTTCCACCCCTTTTCGTTAAATACATCATCTTGGAAATGCTCTATGTATGCCTCTTTGGCTTCCTGGATCTTCTCCTTGGTCACTACTGTACCTTTTAAGTACTTATTAAGAATGTACTGCAACCCATAAAATACTGTTTCCTCATAGCTCATCTACCTTATTTTGGAGTTTTCTGTCTTCTTTCCATGGCATTCAAAGTAGGAATAAACTTTGCTTGTGTTAGGTGGGTATTGTTTATAGTGAGTAACCTTGTGGGAGTTGGTGTCCAGGACATGTTGAACTCAGCTTCTGCCTCAGCATTCATCTCGGGCCAGAGTGGGAACACATAAGGGGGACTGCCTGGCACTACTGCGAGAAGGGAGAAAAAATAGGCTTCAGCTTGCTCTGTCCCTTAAGTCACCGCTGGTCAGAGGGGGAGGTGAGAGGGAAACAGAGTGTAGAGGCAAGGCCTGAGGAGGGCGGGCCAGTAGCTTGAAGTGGCAGGGGTGGCAGGGGCTAGGGCATGTGCACCTGGGAGTAGGATGGCCTCACCTGGGCTCCATGACCTAATTTTTTAGTGACCAAATGCATTGATGATAAACATTTTGCATGACTAAAACATTCAACATGAAAGAGACCAGTAGATTTTGATGTAAGAGTTGGAGACATTCATAACATTGTTTCAGGTTTCACATGGCCACTAACCTTTAAAAAACTACTTGTTATGTTTTGGTGTGGTATCGAACAATATCCACAATTATCTGAAAAGGCTATTAAAATACTCCTCTTTTTCAACTATGCATATGTGGGATGTGGCCAAATTTTCTTTATCTACTCACCCACAACAGCAAATGACAAAAGATTGAGTACAGAAGCAAATGTGAGAATCCACTATCTTCTATTAAGGCAGACATGACAGAGATTTGTAGGAAAACTTTCACCTTTTTCAATGTGGTACGTGTTAGGGTTTTTGGCAGGTGAAGCAGGCTATGAAGGAATTCACAACTAAAAGAAGAGGTAGTTTTTACTTTCCCCAAAGGGAAAGGGCCCTTGTATTGCTAATCAATACATAAGCAAAGAACAAAAACTTCCCTCCCTCCCTCCACCCACTTTTAAAGCCTTGGCTGCTGTTGCTAGGTGTCAAGGAAGGGAGGGGTTTTGGGGGGCTGAAACTGAGCATTCATTAGGGGCATTGTCCATTAGTCCTTCAGGAGACAGCCCACGCAGATGTCTTAGGGAAGTGTCTTATCGGTATTTTCCCCAAGCCTGTAAAACATGCTTAGAGTAAAAGTTATAAAGCATTCAAAAGAGGCTTGTTTGAAGGGGAGGGGAAAGGGAAGTTTTTAGTAATTATCCCTGAGTTGTAAACCAGCAGGGAGGAGGTGTATGCAAGAATGTAGCCTTGAGAGTAACTTGTCTTGTTGTTTGAATCAGAAGAGCTACAATCTTGGGTATTCATGACAAGGTGCTTCTCATAAATTGTGGGAGGTTACAGCAAAATAAAAGAAAGGCCTTTTTTCCTGTCCTTAAAGTACCTATTCAATATTATTTCCTGTTCTTACAGTACATATACAATATTATAGCTGAATATTACTCAGTCATAAGAAAAGATGAAATACTGCCATTTTCAACAACATGGATGGATCTTGACAACATCATGCTAAGTGAAATAAGTCAGATGGGAAACGTCAATAACCATGTGATTTCACTTACATGTTGGATATAAACTGAAAACAATAAACAAAGAAGACAAACAAAAACTCATAGACACAGACAACAGTATGGTGGTTACCAGAGGGAAAGGGGAGTTGGGGAAGTAGAAACAGGTAGAGGGGGTCAAATGTGTGGTGACAGAAGGAGATAACTTGGGTGGTTAACACAATGCAGAATAAAGATGACCTATCATAGAATTGTACACTTGAAACATACATTTATTAACCAATGTCAATGCAATAAATGTAATGAAAATCTTTAAGTACCATCTTTTTCAATGTTTTTCTTTTTCAAATATAATTATTTTTTCATTAAAATCTTTATCATGTTAACATAATAGTTTTATAATAGATTTAAATGAATTACTAAAATAATTAAAACGTTTTCATTTTAGCTTTTAGTATGCTAATGTCAGTAGAAATGATTGATGTAAAAAATGCCTATTAGAGATTCTGAATAATTCTTAAAAGAGTAAAGAGATTGTGATAGTGATGGTCTCTAGACTAAGGGATCCAAATATAATTTAGGAAGTGAGCATAGTTTTATAATCCAAACTGTACAAGTTTTGGCTTAGAATGGCATTTTGATTTGAAGTGTTTTTCAAATGGTAGTGTTAAAGTAGGTTATGTGGTTATCAGACTTTGTATTATTTTAAGTCATCTTATTTTGAAACATTTCTAAAACTTCATTTTTATGTTATGTCTTTAAAATACAACGGAGGAAGTGTAAAATAAAACAATATTTGCAAAGCTGTAGAGTTTTTTTTTTGTGTGGAACATTAGTGTGTGTGTATTGTTTGTTTTGTTTTTGATTAACCCTGACTAGTTTCCTGAACTAGCTAAATAAGATATAAGAATGCTGAAAAAGATGTATGAGAATCTGGAATATTCCTGGTATCTTACATATACAGAATGACCTAAATGGAGAAAATTTTACAGTATTTAAAGAATGTACAGGCCATTGCCATTTCAGAATGTATGTGGGTGTTAATTCACCGCAATGAGAGCCCTTGCCTATTAGTGGTCACTGCTATGTAGCATCTGTGACCACATGGTTACTGAGGTTGAGGTTTCTGGTGTCTTTCCTCCCTCTAAGCGGGTGGTCACCATCAAGTCCCTCCCAGCCTCAGGTCGGGTCAGGGCAGGCGCTGCTCAGGTCACCTCTGTGCCTGGTCACCCGCCCTCGGTTTGGAGCCTCACTCCCTGCAGCTGGGCTCACCCCGCAGCCTGCCTTCGCTGCCCCTGCTCCTCCCCAGCGTCGCCCAAGGGTCCTCCAGCTGCGCGGAGACCCAGGCGGAGGGAGGATGGAGGGCACAGCGCCCGCCGCCGCCACTGGGCTCCGCACCCTCAGGAGGAACGTGAGTGCCCGCCTTCCTCCCGCAGCTTCCACTTTTCTCTTTCCCGGGGCGGTTGCGGGAGTGGGGGGAAGGCTCTTCTCCCCAAGTTGCCGGGTTTCTCCCATCTCCGGTGGGAGACGCGGCTCTTCCTCAGGGGGCAGCAGGCGCACGCGGAGCACAGGCGGGGCCGCGAGGGCGGGTGCTCCCACCTCGGGCCCCCCCTCGCCTCGCCCCCATCCCCTTCCTCCTGCCCGGCCGGCGCGGGCCCCACTGAAACCGGCCCAGGACTCCGGCCCCCGGGGCTCTGGCCTCTGCTCCCCGCCGTGCTCCCCTCCGCCCACCGCCTTTCCCCGCGTCTGCGGGGCTGTGAGCGCGGGTGGGACCGGGAGCAAGACCCCTCCGCCTGACTGCCTGGCAACGCCTTTCCCTGGGGGGCCGCTCCTTCCGGCGGGAGGTGGGAGCCAGTCTGCAGGCGGCTCCACCCCCTGCAGGAAATTATTGTCTCTGGGGGAGAGCAGGCGGCCTCCCAGGTTGAAGGATGGCTTGTCAGAGGCCCAGGAAGGCGAGGGAGGAGGGACAGAGCCGCTAGCTGCCACTTGGTGCTGGGTCTCTGCTCTGTGCCAACAGCCCTGGGCTCAGCGCACTTATGGGTTTCTTCCCTGTCCACTGTAGCAGGAGGCTGCACCCTGTAGCAGGATACCGAACTCACATTATTCATTCCCAGCTTCTCCTGCTAAATCTATGATCTGATTTTAGTTCCGTTGTATTTACAGTTAATCTCAAGAGACTGGTTTTAATGAAATATGTAAATGCAACTATGTTTGGTAAAACTACATATAATTTATCCTAAACACTTTTCCTAATTTGTTGTTTAACTGTTCAGTAATTATAAAATATGTGATGAATTCTGTAATGTAATTAAAAGCTGGAAGCTTTTTTTGTTTTGTTTTTTAAATAGTAGCAATGTGGAATACCATACTTCTTTTTTTTTTGAATTTTTATTTTTATTTTTATTTTTTAAATTAAATCTTTATTGTTCAGATTACATTTGTTCCTCTTCCCCCTCCCCATAACTCCCCTCCTTCCAGTTCCCGCCCCACCCTCCGCCCTCACTCCTCACCCACTGTCCTCATCCATAGGTGCACGATTTCTGTCCAGTCTCTTCCCGCATCTCCCATTCCCCTTTCCCCCCCAAGAGTAGTCAGTCCATTCCCTTTCTATATCCCTGATTCATTATAATCACCAGTTCATTCTGTACATCAGATTATTTATTCACTTGATTCTTAGATTCACTTGTTGATAGATGCATGTTTGTTGTTCACAATTTGTATCTTTACCTTTTTCTTCTTCCTCTTCTTAAAGGATACCTTTCAGCATTTCGTATAATACTGGTTTAGTGGTGATGAACTCCTTTAGCTTTTCCTTATCTGTGAAGCTCTTTATCTGACCTTCAATTCTGAATGATAGCTTTGCTGGATAAAGTAATCTTGGTTGTAGGTTCTTGCTATTCAGCACTTTGAATATTTCTTGCCATTCCCTTCTGGCCTGCGAAGTTTCTGTTGAGAAATCAGCTGACAGTCGTATGGGTATTCCCTTGTAGGTAATTGAGTCTCTTTCTCTTGCTGCTTTTAAGATTCTCTCTTTGTCTTTTGCTCTTGGCATTTTAATGATGATGTGTCTTGGTGTGGTCCTCTTTGGATTCCTTTTGTTTGGGGTTCTCTGCGCTTCTTGGACCTGTAAGTCCATTTCTTTCACCAGGTGGGGGAAGTTTTCTGTCATTATTTCTTCAAATAGGTTTTCAATATCTTGCTGTCTCTCATCTTCTGGCACTCCTATTATTCTGATATTAGTCCGCTTGAAGCTGTCCCAGAGGCTCCTTACACTATCTTCACACTTTCGGATTCTTTTTTCATTTTGCTTTTCCAGTTGGGCGTTTTTTGCTTTCAAATCTTTGGTTTGATTCTTGTGCTCCTCTGGTCTGCTATTGGGTATAATATTCTTTATTTCAGTCCGTGTATGCTTACTTTCTAATTTCTTTATCGTAGCATCGAGGGTCTCATTAGTTTTCGTGAGGCTCTGCTCAAGTTTATTGCAAGCCCTCAAAATTGCGATTTTTAGCTCCATATCCTCCATTTCTGTCATGTTTTATTGTCTCCGCATCTTTTATGCTTTCTTGGTGCACCCCCTTGTGGTCTTTGTGCACAGTCTTGTTCTAGTTAACCCTTAATTGTTGTAGTTAATACTAGAGGTATTTGACCACCAGGCCGACTGGCTGTGAGAATCAGCTGTGGGAAAACTTCAGTCCTCTGGGGAGGTGCTAATCTAGCCTTTGCCTGAGGCGATCCGGCAAATGGCTCTGCGCAGGGCTTGGGCGGGGCGGGATCAACAGGGCGGGCAGAGGGAGCAGTTATGGCTGCTCTCAGTCCCGTTCCCAGAGGCTCTGCTTCTCAGAACCCCGGCAGCCGCTGCAAACCTCGCAGGGACCATAGCCAGACAGTCCCGCTTCTCCCATTTGAGTCTGGGTCCCTAGAGACTCGCCCGGATCTGTAGCCCAGAGTCTGAGACTCCCTCCTGATTGAAAACGACAACCGCGCCCTCAGCCACCAGCCCGCTTTGCGCACGCACCTCCGCACCTTTGTATTTTCCACACTGCGCCTCTTCTGAGCCTCGTAATGCTGTTGTTTTTCCTTCTAGTTGAAGAGTCTCTCCTCAGCCAGCCTTCCTGTGGTTCTGGTGATGTCCATTCCGTCTTTTAGTTGTATTTTTGAAGTGGTTGTTTGCGGCAGCAGTCTCCGGTGTTTACCTATGCCGCCATCTTCGATTCTCCTGGAATACCATACTTCTTTCTACATGTTCCCCAGTTTGTTTTCATGCCTGTCTTTTTTTTGGCTTTTTTATTTTTTATTTTAATATTTTTATTCTTTAAAGTATTACAAAGTAGTAAATATGTCTCCTTTTCCCCTCTCTGCTCCCCCCCCATGTCTGTGTTTATTGGTTATCACAATTTCCTCTTTTTCTAACATACTCCATTGGCGGTGTTGGGAAAATTAGACAGATACATGCCCCCCAAAATGAAACTACACCACCAACTTACACCATACACAAAAATAAACTCAATATGGATAAAAAGACTTAAATATAAGTAGTGAAACCATAAAAACCCTAGAAGAAACCATAGGCAGCAAAATCTCAGACATTTCACATAGCAATACGTTTACTGATACATCTCCTATGAAAAGGGGAACTAAGGAGAAAACAAACAAATGGGATACATCAAAATAAAAAGCTTCTGCACAGCAAAAGAAACCATCAATAAAACAAAAAGAGAGCCCACTGTATAGGAGAACATATTCGGCAATCATACATCTGACATGGGGTTAATATCCAAAATATATAAGGAACTCATACAACTTAAAGGGAAGAAAAAAAATCCAATTAAAAAATGGCCAAAGGACCTAAATAGACACTTATCGAAAGAGGATATACAGTTGACCAAGAGACATGAAAAAATGCTCAAAGTCATGAATTATCTGAGAGATGCAAATCAAAAGGACAATGAGGTACCATCTCACACATGTCAGGATGGCTACCATCAACAAGTCAACAAATGACAAGTGTTAGTGAAATTGTGGAGAAAAAGGAACCCTAGCACACTGCTGGTGGGAATGCAGGCTGGTGCAACCATTACAGAAAACAGTGTGGAGTTTCCTCAAAAAATTAAACATGGATTTGCCATTTGACCCAATGATCCCACTTCTAGGAATGTATCCTAAGAAATGCGAACCACCAATCAGAAAGAATGTATGCACCCCTATGTTCATAGCAGCACAATTTACAACAGCTAAGATCTGGAAACAGCCCAAGTGCCCATCAGTTCATGAGTGGATAAAAAAGCTGTGGTACATTTACACCATGGAATACTATGCAGCAGTTTAAAGGAAGAATATCTTACCCTTTCTGACAGCATGTAGGGGCCTGGAAAGTATGCTATGTGAAATAAGTCAGTCAGAGAAAAAATATATCACATGATCACACTCATATATTGAATCTAAGTAACAAAATAAGCTGATTAACAGAATGGAACCAGAGACATGGAAGCATGGAACAGAGTAAAGAATCTCAAAGGGAAGGTGGGAGAGGGTGAGTCGGGAGGGAGGTAATCAACCAAAGACCTTGAATGGATAGTCCATGGACACAGACAAAAGGGTGCTAAAGGCCTGGGGCAGGAAGGGGAGGGACGAGAGGGGGCTGGAGGTGTCAAAGGGGAAGAAAGGGGGACATAAGTAATACTTTCAACAATAAGTAATTACATAAATAAATAAATAAATAAATGTACTCCATTCCATTGGCATCTGTCAAATGGGACTTTCCCACCCATTCTATGCTTATTTATTTATTTATTTTTAATTAAATCTTTATTGTTCAGATTATTACATTTGTTCCTCTTTTTCCCCCCATAGCTCCCTTCCACCTGGTTCCCACCCCACCCTCTGCCCTTCCCCCCCCACTGTCCACATCCATAGGTGTATGATTATTGTCCAGTCTCTTCCCGCACCCCCACACCCCTTTCTCCCCGAGAATAGTCAGTCCACTCCTTTTCTATTCCCCTGATTCTCTTATATTCACCAGTTTATTCTGTTCATCAGATTATTTATTCACTTGATTTTTAGATTCACTTGTTGATAGATGTGTATTCATTGTTCATAATTTGTATCTTTACCTTTTTCTTCTTCTTCCTCTTCTTAAAGGATACCTTTCAGCATTTCATATAATACTGGTTTGGTGGTGATGAACTCCTTTAGCTTTTTCTTGTCTGTGAAGCTCTTTATCTGACCTTCAATTCTGAATGATAGCTTTGCTGGGTAAAGTAATCTTGGTGGTAGGTTCTTGCTATTCATCACTTTGAATATTTCTTGCCACTCCCTTCTGGCCTGCATAGTTTCTGTTGAGAAATCAGCTGACAGTCATATGGGTACTCCCTTGTAGGTAACTGACTGTTTTTCTCTTGCTGCTTTTAAGAT